GAGAGAGAGAGAGAGAGAGAGAGAGAGAGAGAGAATCTGTAAAGTTATTAAAGTACTCGAGTTTGAGGTATTTGTGACAATATGTTGTAAAATATAGTGAAACTCATTATTTATTAAATATATAAATGAATAAAACATGTGTCAAAAAATCGATAGTTCTGTTGAATTAATAAATTAATACAATTTAATGATTAAACGGATTAAAAAATAATGCGAGAAATATAAAAAAGAGCGGCACAGGTAGGCCTCTAAGCGCTGTTTAATTATTAAGCTTATTAACTAATGCTTAGAGGGATGAGCCCTTATTCCGTGCTGATTAACAATATGTTAGAACGACCTAGATGCTTTCACTCAATAACAACCATTTTTCTATATTAGTTGTCATTTTAATGTCTAAACCCGCGGCACAAACCGGATAGCGATGTAAGGAATATGCGATTTATGTGTTTTTGACGCCAACACAACCTAATTATCGTTCAAACAACCAATAGATCCGGTTATGAATTTGAAGGACAAACACACAATCTATTGACAAACATTTCCACAGTAACTGTATATTGAGTTACAAAGATTGAAATTCATTCATTTTTAATGTCAATCAGTGAGTTATGTATTACCTGTATTGACATACATATACTTCTACTAGAATTGTGTTGTATATACTGTAGAGAGCAATGAGTGAAACTCGTGATAATTCAATAATATATGCCATAAATTATTGATTTAATGTAAAACCTATTAGATTAAGATTGCATTCTTCACCATGTAGTTTCGAAATTGAAATCAATGTCTCTATAAATAAGCCATTCATTTAGAAATAACAAATGCACTAAAGAATATTCTATACATTTCAATACATAGCAGTAATGTATGCCTAATCCATAGGGATAGGGGCCGACAAACAAACACTACTTACGATAAAAAAAAAGTCTTTTCTCAAATATACTCTCAAATATGTTGAATAGTTTTTGTGCTTTTCTTTAATAGCAATTAGAGAAATGCATTTAAAGATCACCATAAATGCCAAAATAAATCGATTTATACTAAATGTTAAACAATGTCTTTAAATAATATGACAAAAGTATATAAATGTGTAAAAGAAAAGCATAAAGACTTAATAGAGAAGGCATGAAATGAAATGAAATCAAAGCTCATTTGATTGTGTTATTACCTGAACGCACGAAAGTCGGGATCGCATTGAAAATATGGTATACGACTCGCAAGACTGGGAAAGTCGCTGTAAATAAGCCAACCGTTGGATTTGGACGCTATTTGTTGCCGAAAGTCCTCTTTTGCCCTCACGAACGACACCAAATCGGAGCCGATCTGAGACACCCTCCGGAGCGCCGGCAGACACTCGGAGTCGTCGGTACAGCTGCACTCAAGTTTGCCACAAATCAAACATTTGTTGGACTTCAAGAGCTCCATAATTGTGTATTCGCTCTCTTTTATGTTCAAATCCTCGCAAATCTTTGCGCTATTTTTGTTTAGTTTTGAGAATTTATTATTTATTGGATATTTGGTTCCGTTTAATAGCTCTTTGGTCTCGATCTGCGAGTTCTGGTCCTCGGGTTCGTCGCTCTCGTCGATTGTGAACTGTTTGGGAGGTTTCGGGAAATACATTGTTCCCCGAAATTCATCGCTCGGTTTGCGTTCCGAGCGCTGATCTTTGGTGTCGCGAAACTGGTGCGGAGGTCTGACCGGTCGCGTCGGCGTACGGCTGGTCTGATGGGACAGTATCTGCTTCTTGAGGTTTAATAGGACTTCGTTTGTACTTAAATCAGGCAATGATTCGCTGTTGACTATTCTTTTGCCAATTTGTGACTTAATATTGTTTAACGAATACGAGTTGGAAATCATGGACTCGTTGTTCAACACACAAGCGTTGGAGGGATCGGTCGAGTCGTGCGGTTTGGTCTTCACCACCGAATGATTGCCGATATTCTTATAACTAACTAAAGTCACCGATTCTTTGACTACTGATTTGGCGGATGCTTTACTCGACGGCGTGTCTAACGTGTGATCACTGGTCGGCGATAAGTTGGTCATCGAAGCTCTGGTGGCGATAGGGCTGTACTCCTCCTTGAGTCGGCCATAAGTGCCGAAATTAAGTCGCGACAAGTTGTTGAGTATTTTGTCTCTCATGTTTCGCTTTATGCTTGTCGTCGACTCGCCATTCAATTGCAATAAATTGTCAAAATTTTCTTCAAAGTAAATATTACTGATGGTTGAGATCCTATTGAGCGGCACTTCAGAGTCAAACTTCTCTTCGTATATAATGGGAAATGTTGTGGAATCGCCATCGAGTGCCACACACTGTCATAAATCGACATTAATTTATCAAATTTATTCAATTCATTGAAAAAGCTATCGTTTTATAAAAAGCAATTAACTTATAGAAACTAATATCAAATAAAATACATTAAAATTAATTAAGAAACTATTAAAACAATGTAAAACATTAAATTATGATAAAAACAAATTATCGATTTAAAACATATAATGATCTAAAAGCTAAAAATATCGCTGCAATGGTCACAGACCTCGACATCACAGGGCGGCAGAAGTGTCAGATATGGTGACTTTCGGATAGAATCGCTGACATCATTGAAAACAGTGGTATTGTTATCACAAATTGAATGCAAGTGTTTCTTCTGCTTCTCGATGCAGAAGAATGCTTCGGAGAAGCGTTTGATGCGCTGTGAGTGATGCACCTTGGACAAATGCTGATTGATGCGCTCAGAACTGTACACGAGGGCCAGGAACTGTTGCCATAGAAGAATGGCTACACCGCACAGATAGGCCATATCGCTCTCCACAGTTGTGATGAAGTCTTCGGGTCGCGTCGAGTCATTGATTATGAATAAGTCGTTTTGAAATGATATGAAATCATTAGACGGATTGCTTTCGTTAATGAGTATCGATTTATAGCATTCTTGAGCCAATTTGCTTAAGTTGTCGATACAGGGAGTGATGGGTTGTTGAGGTTGGCGGACCTGTTCCCACGGCGCCAGAAGGCCGTAGTACTCATCGATCTTANCTTCTTGTTGTGTGTCTCATATCGCACACACATTGCTTTATTGTCAACATATGGATAGTTTCATATCCTTTATGTGAGTTAAGGGAAAGAAAACGTATTGTGTATTGATATTGAATTCACTGAAAAGACTTACTTTAATGTGAGAGAAATCTAAAGTGAATGAAAAGAGAGTGAAAAATATTTCACTGCTTATAAACAGCGATGGCTTTCGTTGAACAGATTCTTTGGGACAACTGTTCCCTTTAAAGTCAGGAATTTTTATATTTAAATTTTTTCCTCTGAAACTAATCCAATGCTATATCACTGCCAGAGAAAGCATCGCATCGATGGGCCATATATTCAAGTCTTACACTTGGTTTCAATGCAAAACAATTCAATCTCGGCTCAGATTTCTCTCTACGAAGAGATTTAAAGCCAATGAATGCCATTACGGAAGCAAATCAAAGAGTGTGTATGTTTTGGCAGTTTTGACAACTTTCTCAAACTTATGTCAAATTTTAATTGCAATAAAAATGCATTTAAATTTCAGATAAATTGACAATTTGTTGACATAAAAAACGAGTTCATTTTAGTACAAAACAGTAGTTATCATGTTTTTAGTTATCACTTTGAGATGACATTAAAAATTCATTTAAATTTCTAATTTTTATTTTAACTAATACTGCATAAAATCATGTGTTAAACTATTAGCATGGTTCATTTGTTTTGAGGACAGCAGTACCTTAAATGTCAGCATTAAATGCTTGATTAACATATGATATCAAATGGATTTGTTTAATAAGACGGAAAAATGTGATAAATTATGAAATATAATTATAATATACAGTAAATACCACTTAACTATTAAATAAAACATCAATATATAAACATTTTTATATATACATCAATACATTGCATCCTTTACAACGAGATATTTACAAGACTGTTGTGTGCGATACAGTATAATATAGTTTATTAGGCGTTATTATTAATTTAAACACTTATTTAGCAATTATGTACAAAATTATTGCACGTTCTTTGCATTACATACAAATACGGGTACATTAATTGCAATTTAAAACCGCCCACGGTCGCATTTAAATATGTTTACAGCACGTGATTTGTAATTTACAAAATAAAATTTTAATTATTTCTTTATTCATTACAAATTAAACGACTCTATATT